AAAACACTTTTGTTTTTCAGTTTTTTGTTTTAAGATATCAAAAACAAAAACAAAAACACTTTCGTTTTTCAGTTTTTTGTTTTAAGATATCAAAAACAAAAACGAAAACACTTTTGTTTTTCAGTTTTTTGTTTTAAGATATCAAAAACAAAAACGAAAACACTTTCATTTTTCAGTTTTTTGTTTTAAGATATCAAAAACAAAACACTTTTGTTTTTCAGTTTTTTGTTTTAAGATATCAAAAACAAAAACGAAAACACTTTCATTTTTCAGTTTTTTGTTTTAAGATATCAAAAACAAAAACGAAAACACTTTCATTTTTCAGTTTTTTGTTTTAAGATATCAAAAACAAAAACGAAAACACTTTCGTTTTTTCAGTTTTTTGTTTTAAGATATCAAAAACAAAAACGAAAACACTTTTGTTTTTCAGTTTTTTGTTTTAAGATATCAAAAACAAAAACGAAAACACTTTCATTTTTCAGTTTTTTGTTTTAAGATATCAAAAACAAAAACGAAAACACTTTTGTTTTTCATATTTTGTTTTAAGATATCAAAACGAAAACGAAAACACTTTTTTTTTTCGTTTTGGTTTTTGAGAAATCAAAAATGAAAAACGAAAACTTTTTTTGTTTTTCATTTTTTGTTTACTGAAATCAAAAACGATAGCAAAATGTATTAAGTGCAATTAAAATTTCATTAGCTCAGAAATTTCCAACATCAATGAATGTTGTATATTCGAGATAGTTTTTTGTCTAAAACATTGTAAAAAAAGGACTGTCAGATATCTTAAGTCGATGGAAAGACCAAACCATGACACTCAAAAATAGACGACAAGCAACAGTCTACACAACCATACTGTGAAGACTGAAAACTGGGTAACAGTATTACATAAATAACTGGGATGATTTCAGGTGCTCTGGAAGGATAAGCAGATTCTGCTCCAGCCAGTCAAAATAAAAGGAACAATAAATATATATTCGATTATGATAAATACCTAGGTTGTTTTTTTTTATACATGGCACACAGCTCTTTTTCATAGTGTAGTCAACTTCGTGCTCGGTCTCAATTAAAGGTTACAGAGGAGGTCAACACGTATGTCTTTTTAAGAGTCTTTAATACATGTCATTATGGATTCTACTTTTTTCGAATTTTTATTGACCAAAACAAATACTTTTATCATTGTATTTCATCTGCAAAATTTCTATGCTACACTTTTTCTTTTTCAAAAAGTCACCACCGAATGTCCTGTATATGCATAATTCACTCATGTAACTACACATTATTTGAATGTAAAGTTGAAATACATCCATAGTTGAAGTTCATAATAGACATCCATTAGTACGACCCCGTACATAAAGTGAAATATTCATTGATATATTCGCTTTGAACTTTCCTTGTAATGATGTATCCACCCGTTAATAACATAAACGGCAAGAATTCTACTGCACAAGATATGCATTTTGACAACAAATGTCTCTTCATTGAAACTCGAGGCCAAATTATATGAAAATCAAACACTTATTCAAAAGCTGATAAAACTGAAAAGAATATTAAAAAATACCCAAAGCCGGGCAATTTATTAGAGCTTTCGATAAGGGAAATATATTTGTAACGGCAAATTTCAATATCCGTATTCTCAAACCAATTACAAAGTACTGTCTATTGGATTTGTGATACCTTCGAGGACTAAGAGTCCACCAGCAGAGGTATCGACCCAATGGTGGAAACACTAGTAAACCAATTTTGATCTGAAACAGTAATTATGGTCTGAATAATTTTAACAGACTGAACATTGAATTATTAAGTCATTTTCAGTCTTTCAGTCAATATTGAGACTTACCTAATGCGGTGAATTCAATACTGTTTAGAGAGTTTGCATGCGGTCAATTAAGATTTTTCAGTCTATTTTCAGAAGGCTCAGTAGTTGTTATTTACCTGTACAAATCAACATCATTCTAAATTGTCCAAAAAAAAAATATTGAACATTATTGAATTGACCTCAATCGAATAATCAGGGCCCGTATGCATAAAGCTACTTAAGTTAAGATTTTCCTTAGTAAACACTTAAGTTAAGGAAACTCCGCCCTTTTTACCTAAGTGGTATGCATAAAAAATCTTAAACTAAGTATTTCCTCAGTAAATTCTTAGTTGGTTTAAGTCACGCCCACACAACTTAAGTGTTATGCATAAAACCCCTTATACTAAGAAAACGCCTAAGATTATACTTAAGTATAAGGTACCTATAGAGCTACCTTAACTTTTCTAAAATATATAAAATCAGTCGAATGTATGCGTTTTTTTGCAGAAATATGGATATATTAGCTCCCATTTAATTGAATAATAAATATATTCAGTGATATTTCGTTTGTTTATTGCTAAATATTAACGATCATTGTAATTATCGAAAGATCTCCTATAATCAACAAAACCAAGAGATAACAGAGGGTAGTTTTATAATTTCATTCTTCCCTTATTTCTCAATCTCGTTGGTGTGTATTCCGAAAAGTGCTCACAGTTTTTACACGCATGGAATTCATGCATTTATTTTTCTTTTGATTTGTTCGTGCCTGCTTACACAAATAACATTAAATGTTAGATTGATAAAATATATCGCCTGGTATCGATTGTAACTTTTAGTAAAAAACTGTAAGAAAGTCTTTAGGCATGCAAAATCCAGTTTTCTTGGGGGGACATCGGTTTAATTTTCAATTTTTTTTTTTCTACATATATTGGGCAAATTTCCCCTAAATTTGTTTCACTAACTGGGACAAAATCAAAACTTTTTAAGACCTACTCCGTGGAATTCGAAGTTTATATATATGATATATTCATTATACTTAATCCGTATTCAATATTTTTTTGTATTTCCTTATATATTCTGCAAATTTTGCATAGAAGGAAGACTTTAACTTTAAATAAATTATGGTGTATCTGAAAGAAATGTATGTTATAACTTCCAATAAATTTTGGTTTTGGTTAAGAAAATCCTTCTCGTCAGTTTTAGATAATTGCTAAAATTTTCTAAAATCTGGCCAGAATGCATGCAGTTTTGAGTTATCTTTACGCGTTGATAACTTTAAAGTGAAATATTCAGAAATACGCAAAAATGTTGATAATACCTTACAGTAAACATATGAATCTAATAATGTGTGTTTTATTAAAAAATCGAAGGGCTTTTGAAAAAGGCCCCTGATTTGCTATGATTTCGTGGAAAATTGACCCTACCCTCTTTTTTTTATTGTTATAAAAAGGAAGTGAAAAAAGTTTCAAATCGAAATAGATTTCAAAACATCTTATCAATATATTTTAGGACTAAAAAATATATTGTTGTCTCTAGAAAATAAACATGCCTTCCATCCAGCAACACCCATAAAAGATGAATGGTCGGTGCCTTAGAGATGGAACAAATCTGTTTAATAAATATGACAAATTGGAACCTTTTTTAAATGAAGATTTTACTATCATATATCATTATTAGATGGATGATTTGCTACAAGATAATGTTGAGTATCCATTTTGAGACTCCTCATGTAATTGAAGTTTTGTTTGCAATAAAAAAAATTGCTAGTGGATAATTCGATTTTTTTTTTATATTTTACATTTATCACGCCATGCATAAGTTGTCCCACTTCTTTTGGATCTCTTAACAATCTCTCCTCATTTAATGTTCTCTACTTATTAAATTGCTTTATATTTGTTATTTTCTCCTATCCCTAAGAGTGACTGACAAATAGAAATACGGTCACTTTGGTCTATTTCCGACCGGCAGTAAAACTCTTGTCAAAGTGGGGCGTCCGTTTTTCCAGGATGTATAAGTACGCAACCACGTACGGTCAGATTGGGATCGTGTAGAGAGAGATTGGTATTGGTTATTTGTTCTCGCCCTGATGATGCATGATATATTTGCCATTGGACTCACTTTGGGCAAGCATCAATACATCAATCAATTTCCTGTCAAGCCCGTTTCATCTCTCCTTTAGTAACAGTAGGGGAAAGTTTTGCATTACAAATATTTTTTCTCTTATGCGTCAATTTTTTATTTGTTTGGACATTTAAAGTGGTTACGTATTTTTTAATTGTTTTACACACCAACATCCATTTAAACCAAGTTAATAAAAGTATGTATTGTTCAATCAATGTAAATAATCAAAACAAACTTTTACACGGATGAGTACATGCGATGAGCTAACATATATCATACGGTAATTAGAGAAAGGTTCCGATTTAAGTATTCCTAAGTTAAGTGATGACTTAAGTAATTTTATGCATACCACTTAAGAATTTTACCTAACTAAGGGAATTCTTAGTGAAATCTAAGTTTAAGGAACACTTAAGTTAAGATGTTTTATGCATGAATTTACCGCAGTGGATAAGTCTGATAATTGACTGAAAGACTGAATAATTTATTGTTCGGGCTTTTCAGATGATGTTAAGATCAAAATGACCGTTTATGATTAAAATTCATTTACTAGTGTTATTACATAAACGCTACTAATTTTGATGCATACTATTCGTATTTCGACAATAAATATTTCTTCATTGATTCTCGAGGCGAAATATTTGAAAGAAAAAAATCGTATTCAAATCTTGAAGAGCTCCTTAACCGAAAAAAATAAAAATATTATTGAAACCGAGCAAGGAATCAGAGCTTGGCAGGACGGGATTATCTTCCTTTTTAAAAAAAATAATTTCCGAAATTTTGAAACGACAAATTTCAATGATACAATATCCTTATTTTCATGCTACCAATGTACCGTAAACTTCCAAATTTCACGACGGGCCTAATGTATGTTAAGTAAAACGAAGTAATAGTATATTACTTCCTCAAATAATTTTGTTTGGCTAATCTGATGTTTTGGTCTCCTGTACTTATGTGTTACACACATGTTCCCTACTCAAAGTCATAGTTTAACCTTACTGTGTGTTGATGTGGATGTGAGACTTTGTTAACTATTTTCTTATTTTACATTGTATGGTATTAAATGCAGACTTTATTTCAGGTTAAAAGCGAAATAGGACATTTGTTTCCAAAATCTACTTGAAGTATATGTTGAGAAAACGGTGTACATCATTTTAGGAGAATGAAAGAAAGGGGTCGAATCGAAATCATCCTGAGCTATATTGTACCTCGTCGTCGCCTAGTCATTCCAATACTCTTGTTGATGGGAGTAGCAATACTAATTTTTGCGAGAGCTACAGGAGAAATGCCTAGTCGAAAAACAAGAAGTGTTCCTGAGTTTGAAGAATACACTTACGAAAGCCTCCTAAGTACATTCCATAATGTTACACAAATTAATCCTCACAAATATCACTATATACATTCTCCAATAAAAATATGCAAAGCAAATGGTAATTCAGAAGATCCAGAACTGTTGATTTTAGTTAAGTCTGATGTTACGCATTTTAGTTATCGAATGGGCATTAGATCAACATGGGGAAACTTTTCCATTAATTCCTTCAAACTCGTATTTCTCTTAGGATACTCTTCAACAATAGAAGCTTTAGTTCAAAGTGAAAATGACAAATACCATGATTTAGTGCAAGAAAACTTTGTCGACGCCTATAGAAATAACACCATAAAAACAATTATGGCATTTAATTGGGCTGTACGAACTTGTCCTGGTACAAAATATGTATTATTTGTCGATGATGACTATTTCGTTAATGTAAACTCAGTAACAGAATTTCTGAAAGTAAATGCCACATTAGAAAGTGATTTATTCGTAGGCTTCCGAGTGGACAATGCAAGGGTATTCCGATATATCGAATCGCAATGGTACATGACAAAACCAGAATATCCCTTCCTTCATTATCCACCATATATTAGTGGCGGTGCAATGCTATTATCGATGAAAACAGCAATGATTTTACAGAACTCATTAGCATACGTCAGATATTTGTATGTGGACGATGTTTACATTGGTATAGTTGCTTATTTACTTAATATTAATCTCACTCATAGTGACCGTTTCGTATTGACCTTCGCGAGTGATAACCTTGACAGCTGTCTTGCGGCCCATAATTATGGATCACCTGATAGTTTGATTCAGGAATGGAAAATCTTTCTCCGGAGGCATTACGATTATACTGTTCATATCTATTCACAACAGATGAAGGATATTTTATACATCAAATAACGACTGATAAAGTATAGCATTCAGTTTGATATTGTCAGCAATTTTAGCTTCATAGCAATTATTGATATTATAACAGTTTCCCGCATATTTTTGCTTTTTTAAGGTGAAAGGAAGGATAGATGGAGAATTTTATATAGCATTTGCAATATCACATCTGTATCAACCAGAGACATCAATATAATCCCAAGAGCTCTGCTCGAGGGATTATATTGGTTGAGGGTTGATAGGGTGTGTGATATTGAAAAAAAAAAACATATCATATACACTTTATTATATAACCGAAGTAGATGTTTTTTTTCACGTGACATAACGTAATATAGATTAGGGTTTGATAAAGCCTTTGCAACCGTGACTGATATCGATGAAGAGACGTCATATAGATTAGGGGATGATTAAGGCTTTGCAACCTGACTGATGTCGATATCATCACGGATGTCTGTTACAGCACGATTCCCATTGGTCGTGTTACACATACAATTTACATGTATTTACTACTAAGTATAAAATAAAAGTAATTATCTGCCCTCATGTAAAAACATCTTGTTTTGAAATATATTTTTGGGGTTACCCATTGACATATATATAAACATAAATGGCAAGATCTCAAAATCAGGCTATTTCAGCTTTTTCCTGCAGTGCTTCATTAACTCAAAAAGTAAGAAAATTGTAATATTGGGACGGATATAGAAAATTTTAAATGTCCATAGCAAATGCATGTGTGTATTTGATATTAAAAACCTTAATTTTTAATTGAATATAGACTTCAGAGTGGGCCATTTGAATAAGTGATTTTTTTACGTTTTGTAAATATAATAATTTTTTTTAAACATATTTAGGAAGATGATCTTACTACGTAACTGTTTATTCAGACAATTGTACCCTCAGTGAATGACATGCAAGTGTAAGGCTGATTGGGTCACTTCTAGGAGGAAACCGTCGTTAAATGGTAGATACAGCAGACAAAGCTTAATTGAAAAAAAATGGTTTGATAAAGCAAAGAAAATAAGATACTGTCAGTTAAAATCAAATTTCACTTGCAGTTGATCTTTTTGATTGAGAAACCAACATTGTGATAGATCTTAGTTTAGTCAAGATACCATTGTAGACCATACCGAATGCCAAAGTCCAGTTACTGTAACTCTTCAGCCGATTTAAGTTCACCAGACCAATATACTTTATATGAGTAAAATTCAAGAGTCCAGCAAAAGTATTACACTGCCATATTTATTAGTTGCAAATGCCATGCAATTCCATACAAAGTTCCTTTGAAATGACTTAGTATTGAGGGGCATTCTTTATTCTGACGTAAATGCTACACATACATTTTGAACAATTTAAATACTCACTAAGTAATTATTGTAATTAATATTCAAAAGGGACATTCATCATGATCAGAAAATGCTCCAATGATTCGATAATCCGAGGTATGACATGACGATTTGATGAGGTGCATTAGTTATGATAAAGGAATATCAAATTAAAATGATTACAGTAACATCCAAATCTCCAGTAATCTTTCTGTTAATGGCTTTTAATTATGCATATATATCAAAATATTCGTAAGTAAACAACTAGTTTCGTTAATAATTTGAAGAATCAATTATCCTTTTGTAAATTATACGACAATAAACAAAAAGACTACAGAATAACATTAACGTGAAAAGCCAAGGCATTGATATTTATAAATTGTCTTTAAATAAGTTTGTTGAACGTATATGACGTTATGGTAAAGATGATATTATAAGCTTATATCCTTTAAAGTCAAATGAGTTTAGAAAGATGATATTCTAGTTGATATTTGTTACTTTTCTTTTTTTTTATAGATTTCTTAAAACAAAGTTTTAAGAAAATGAACATGTGACATCATATGTCATCTACAGGAACAATTGAATAAATATATTGGAGAGTATTTTTATTGTCGAACAAGGGTCAACCCTCGCTCGAAAAAGCATTAAATACACCAAAGTTTATCGTGTATATTTCTTCTTTTCGGAATTGATTATTTAGGTAATTTTGTTGTAATATTTTGTGATTTTTCTAAAACTGGTATTTGGGCACAAAATATGCAAATTAGTCATAAATGTGCATCATGTAAAAATAAAATAACATGTCGGCAATATTCAGACTGTTTCATTTCAAATCTTGATTATTATTCAAGCAATGCAACAATGGTAAATTATGCCAACCTTAAGTTAGTATTTATAAGGTTTTTATGTTCTCATTTTGTAATATTTTTATATGAATTGGCTTTTTGTTGTTTTCTTTTAAAATAAATATATGAAGAAAGAGATTGTGTTACTAGGCTTATTTTAATAACGTTCAAGACCTTTTCCTGAAATTTTGTGTCGCTAGATGCAGGTTCAGTGTTTTTAATCGTTTTCAGCGTTCGAAAAGTTTACAAACGACCTATTTTTTTAATTATTCAAAATGATAAATCATCAATTGTTTGCAACTAATGCCATGCAGAATGTTTTGCAATGTTCTAATTTTCGAATGTTTGCCTTGTTGCAGATTCCGTTATTATACGACAACATCGTAATCATAACTAGTAGCAATTTAAAACATTATTGAAAGTGCATTATCGCGTTACCAGTGAACATCATTATCATCTTTGATAAAAGCCGGGTTTTTTACTCTCCATACCGAGACTACCTGGTTTCTACTAAAATTGAAACAATTCATGTGACCCCCATATAAATATTATACAATTTAACCGGAAACACTTGAAGAGCTATATGACAAAAAGAAACATAAAAGAAATAGCCAAAACCGTCTTATGCCAAATTTGTCTGAGGGAGTTGTAATCTTTATTTCGTATACTTTCTTTATTAATCAACAGAAAGTTCAGAAATATGTTTTTAGAAAAGTAAATATGTATGAATGTTTATCCGCAGTGCCTTGTAGTTAGGAGAACAGATTTAGTATATAAATAAACATAAGTACAATCTAGACATAGTCGTCATTCTTTCTTTTTTTTTTACTTAAAACATAACCAAACGTGACTGTTAACCTTCTACATCTGTACATAAACATTTTCTGTCAAACCAGTAGGCAAATGCTGCCAGATTGCAATAGTTGATCTTATTTCCGTCTATATTATAAGAATATTATCTATTGCAGAACAACATATCCATGAGTATTTGTAAAGGAATAAAAAAAAGAAGGAATTACGAATATTTTTCGTATAAACTATATACAATGAAAACAACATTTTTTTAATTTCATCCGTCCAAAGCGCTTTCTGGATTTACTTCATCAGAAACGCTCAATGTCGAATATTTGAAAGTTAAGGATGTATAAGAACCGAAACAGTTGAAGAGCTGTATAATCAAAAAGAAACTACAATGATAGCCAAATCCATTTAAGGTCAACTTTGCCTCACACCTATGACGAAGTCATATATTTAATTCTTTAATTACATATATGTAAATAGGCTCAGTGGAAACAAGAACTTTGTGAAAAACAAGATTTATTTGATGTTGAGCATTGTGGACAGTCCAGGGAAATAGTTACTTTATAAGGGTATTTCAAATGGGTTAAATCATTTTGATTGACAGACAACAGCCGCATGATGTTTCAATGTGATAGTTGTATTTGTACATGTAGTAAATTATGTTCTAAAGTCGGCCTACACAATAACAGAAAAAAATCATAAACTCTGATGAGCTCTTTAACCGATGTTTTGTCCAAAGATAATTCATGATTAATATGTTTTTTCTTGACAAAAAAATATTATTCGAAACAGTACTTAAAACAAAAAAAAACGTAGAATGAAAGTTAGTTTTAATTCTTTAATTTCTGGTTATAAAGTTCATCTAGATGATCTTTATTGTTAGAACTGCATCCTCCTTTTTGTAGTTATATAGGGTTCATATAAATACATGTACACCATGTGCTGCGGTGAATTCTTTTGACATCTAATAAAACTACATTGTACAAACAGAATCATTCAGAGCCTGATAAACAGTACAGGTCAGTTTTTGTGTAATGTTTTTTATAGGATATGGTCTAGCGTTAAGGTAATTTTTCTCAGAATGATTTGCGAAATATAAAGGCAGTATTTCGCCCTTCTATGATATTTTATGTGCATATCATATCGTCTTAACCTTTAAATTTTGAATATGATTGGAACTATGCTTTAATTTACATTAACCAATTTTATCATATTAAACAAGCTCCAAAAAAGGAAGTACATATAAAAATCAATATATAATACTAGCATCCGGATCATTGATCAAATTAAAGAATGTCATAACGAATGGGGAATGATACTGATAAGAAAAGCAATAAGGAATCTAAAATTGTTTGTTATTCGATTTATTAAATACATCGACATATTTTAAATCTGATATGGTAACTTCTACCGTTGCTATCTTAAATAAATATTGATATATTCTCAAGTCGACTCGGTAATTTGAAAACATTCAACCATTTCAGAAAAGAAATATCATTCCATTCAAACAAGGTTAAATAAGCATAACAGCCTAACATCCACCGTTGCGTTTCACATCAGCACCTTTATTGTTTCTTCTCTAATATGGAGTTTCTCGGTATCTCCCTTCATCACTAAGTTTTATCCGAGATTGAAATGTAAGACCTGTAATGTCGTATATTGCAGCTCCTGTTAATGCATTTTGACCACATTAAGCCTAAAAGCAAAGAAAAAATGTACAGAGTTGTACGATTTAACGTTGTGATTTTCTTTGAAATGAAAAAACTTTGACCATGCTAATATCAAGTCCCAACCTTCCAGCATGCTTAAAATGCAATATATTAATGAACATAATGAATGAATATTAAACAAGTACACTCCCAACCCACACATTGCGGGACTACTGATAACCGACAATTGTTTTTAATTATAACCAAAAGAAACCTACTGTTAATAGCTTATCTTTTATTAGATTTAGAATTTATTTTGCATGTTGAGATGAAGTTGTAATTTGTTCCATCGAAGGTAAAAGTTCATAATGAGAGTGCATATATTTCGTGTATTAAAGGTAATACGGTCATTAATTAGTGATGGCCTCATGTGGAAACTTGAAAGAGGATTACAAAATTAATTTAAGTGATACAGTGTGTTATATATTTGGATGTGTAGTGTTTAACGTCGTGAGACAACAACCCCTCTTATTAATTGTTATTGCATATCAAACATTTAATACAGATTAAGCAGCGAATTATTCCTTTCCAAAAATTATTTTTTTCTACTGATCTATAGCTAATTAGTAATGTACTGTTATTGATTCGCGTACCACTGATGTTTATCATGTAGACTTAACGCGCGTCTGGCGAGCCAAATATAAGCTTGATCATTTTTTATACTGGCGGTGGAAGTTTCTTCTCCAAGGGTTTCACTAGCCAATAAGCCAGCACGTCTGTGTTGCTACCATTTCTACGTTTTGTTTTATGCAAACTAACTTAAATATTAAATTACTTTAAACACTAATGTTTTTCTACCTCAAGGGATAAATAGAATTTGCCCGATGTTTCGAAATTTTGGTTTGCAATTCATCTTCATCTTTGTTTTTGATTTGACCTGCAATTGATGAGTATTATGTAGACGATACACGCGTCAAGAGTACCATATTGTGTCTGGTATCTTTGATCAGTTTGTATTGATCTTCATTGGTTAAGATAGAACTCAAGTTAAACGGCTATTGTTTCATCTAAATTTCCCCAAAATCACATATGAAAATGTGTAAGACTACAAGAGTTAAATTAGAGTTTTTAAAACTATCCAAAACATAGTTATGTCAATGAAAAGGATAGCGAACAAAAGTATGTTCAACGTTGTTATTTATTGAACTGTATCATCAATGTGTAGGCCAGACAACCCAAGACAACCACCCAACAACGTATACAACAAACACAATTGGAGGTCAACTTAATTTTAGCCTTTAGTGGTCAACAGGTAATCCAAACTAGACGTCCGGCTCGGTAATATGGGAAATAAATTTAAAGAGACTACCAAAGATCTGCCATTAACACAACCGTAAAAGTAAAACCAAAACAAATAATTTTCAAAACCGTTATTAACAAATAGCAATAATCGTTTACGCCACTGTGACTTAAAACAAGCACAATAATTTGGGGGTGGAGTAAACTGCTTGTTTAGTACCCATCCTTCCTTTTCTCACAGGCATGTCAAAACATAGGTTCCATGTTCGCAGTCTGCACGTGGCAGGTGCGTTCGACTCTAATCTTCATTGACAAGGATTACCAGATTTCCTGCCTAATGTCGTTGTTACTCTACGGGCACTCCGGGTTCGTCCATCAATGAAAGTTGTCCACCACGATATAGCCAATAGTGCTGAAAATGGCGTTAAACACCAAAAATCAATCGATCCTTTTCTCACGATAGGATAGTCCTGAACATGCATGCAATATTTGCCACTGTACTTTAAGCAACCAACAATCAACCAATCTCACGATCGGTGGAACAAAAAAAAGCACGTAAATCGCACAGTAATGTTTATCAAAGAACACTTGTTTCAATTATATAGTTATGCTGTCAATATTTCATAAGACCGTGTCAACGAATGGTTGTACTACTGACAGGACAGCAAGATTAAAATAGTTAGAGGTAGAGTTTTTCGGCATTCCTATGGGATCGAACTGTGCGTCTCTCCTTGCTCACCTCTTCTTATTTACATATGAGTCGTAGTTCCTTCAGACACTCGTCAAAAACAAGAAGATCAAAGAAGCCAGATCCTTTAATTTCACATTCAGATATATTGGCGATGTTCTTTTCCTTAAAAATCCAGAATTTTCTGATTTGGTTCCATTAATATATCCTTCAGAACTAAAATTAAAGACACGGCTTCCTCCGCCTCATTTTATACTTATACCTCGAATTTGACATTAACGGTCATCTCAGTACAATAATATATGACAAACGAGACGATTTTAATTTTGAAATTATATAATTTCCACAACCTTAGCAATATACCAACTTCACCTGCATATGGGATATACATTTCCCAACTCATTCGGTATTCAAGAGCTTGCAGCTGCTTCTCAGACTTTACAAAACGTCACCAGTGTCTGAACAGAAAGTTGATGAAACAGGGTTATGTCAACGAACGTCTCGTCCTTTTTCTAAACAAGTTCATCGGAAGATACCAAGACCTTGTTGATAAATATTCCGTATCAACTTCACAAATAACATGATGGTTTTGACGTATGGATTCTAGGAACTGACATGGTTTATCATCTTAATAAGTGTTACAGTGTTCTTTTTATTTGTCGTTGTATATTTTTAACCTTTAAACCAAACTATTAACCCAAGAGTTCCAAGTGGTGAAGTTGAATTCATCCCCTCGTAAATTTTAAGGGCGCTATCACGAGTTGGTTGACCGTTATGGAATATCTGTTTCACAGATGACAACGGATATGTTCCAATTATCGTAACTACAATCCCGTTCCCTTTCCCCCGAATGTGACCTACCGAATTATACTGATCATCGGGTTTGTACTAACATGAGAAACACGACGGGTGTTACATACATGTGGAGCAGGATCTGCTTACACTTCCGGAGCACTTGCGATCATCCCCAGTTTTTGGTGTGGGGTTTGTGTTGCTCAGTCTTTAGTTTTCTTTGTTGTGTTTTGTGTACTGTTGTTTGTTGTTTGTCTTTTTGTGTTTTAGCCATGTCGTTTATAGTTTATTTTCGACTTTTGTAAGTTTGAATGTCCCTAAGTTATCTTCGCCTCTTTTTTACTGCTTAATCCATTTTTGATCCTTTTGGCGTGGCTCGGTATTTATAAATCCCGTCATTGTGTTATTGTGTTATGGTCATTTTTGTATTCTTGTCTTTTATTTTTGCCTATGTGCTTTGTCCATAGAGTGTCTGTATGCCATTTTGTTTTTCTTTGTTGACATAGTTGGTTTTTTTTTTATAGTGATTAAGATTATAACACACGGTTGACTGCTGTACCGCAATTGGTGTCATTTTTACCTATTATATCTGCTTGTTTTGCTCACACATTGTTGTCAATATGCAGTCCAAGTGAACGGTTTAGCTAGCTAAAAAACAGGTTTAATCCACCATTTTCTACATAAGGTAATGCCTGTACCAAGTCAGAAATATGACAGGTGTTTTCCATTCGTTTAATGTTTTTGAGCTTTTGATTTTGCGATTTGATAAAGGACTTTCCGTTTTGATTTTTGTTTTGTTTTGTTATTTTACTTTGTACTGAGAAATAAAATGTAATGTTTGAATGCCTCCGAATTGTTGTCTCCAAATCAAAATTACACATCTCTAAAGACCAACAACGTAACAAAATAATACCTTAACGAATAACTCAGAAAACTGAAGAATGATTCGAACTATCATGCCTTCCTATATTTATAGGAATTTTGTCAATAACTCTATAAACTCAGTCAATACTGAATAAAATTAACATTGACAACTTAATCAACTTATTTTATAGGATTAACACAACAGGTGTCCCATATGGAGGAGGATCTGCTAGCCTTTCAGAGAACATGAGACCAATTTGGTTCTGGGGTTCATGTTGCTCAGTCTTTAGTTTTCTATGTTGTGTTTTATAGACTGTTATTTGTCCTTTGGTCGTTTTTCGATTTATTTGCCATGGCATTATCAGTTCGTTTTTTACTTATGATATTGAATATTCCTTTGGTATCTTTCGCCTCTCATTGAAAAGAATTTAACACACCTGTTTATGTATTGAAACTCTCTGACAATATATCGAGACATAGTTCACAAAATGAAAACCAAAACAGTATAGAAAGGGGATGTTTTTATTTGTCCGTCACTTTTCAGTCTTTAGTTTTTGTATGTTGTGTATTGTTTACTGTTGTTTGTCGTTATTTTCTCATTTTTGCCATGTCATTGTCAGTTTGGCATCGACTTATAAGTTTGAATATCCCTTTTGATATATTCCGCCTCTCTTTTCGTGCAATTCGGAAATTTCTATCAATCCTATGCAGCATATCGTTGTTATGTTGAAAGGGGATTTTGTTTGTTCAACCAAAAGGGGAAACAAAAACGATGTATACAGTTAAAACATGGATAGATATCTTCATTGCTTTTATTAGATTTTAATGTTTTGATCCTTAGAATCAATCTTCAAACTATTCAAAAATGAATAAACACATTCCGTTTAGGTGTAAAACGTTATGTTTACTTTGGTTGGTAAATCTACGAATAACAGTATGTTGCCAAAGGCTCGGGATCCTACAAGTTGTCGGGTTTTTATTGATCCTAAAAGATTGTTGTTACATATAACAATATGTCAAGATCCTAACAAAGGCTATGCTTTTAGAACCTTTTCTAAAAAAAATCACATTTGAAATGTTTAAAGAAGTTCATCGACTACAAGTTAAAACTGTAAGATATGGCAAACCAAGAACTATAACACAGATGTCTTACATATGCATAACACCAATAAAGTATACTAATATTTTCTATTAAATTGTTACAGAATAATAGCAATCAAGAGGATGCTGATTTGTTAATTTTCCAATAAATTGTTCTTTTATTTAAACATTGGTGGACATATAGTGAAAACTAATGCTATCTGAATTATGACTTATATAAGTCAGCATGTATTCAGATTTCAAGAAACATCCTATTTACATAAAACTTTGTATAAATTAGCGCGACAGCTTGCATAGAAACAAAGTTCTTTATTTTCACTTCCCTCTTTAGAATATAGACTGAATGTTGCCCGCATATTTACAAGTCATAGCATTACAGTTTAAAACAATATGTTGGTGGTGACTCTCATTAAACTGTTATATAGCAATATACATTATTTATGTGGCAATATTTGCATCAAAATACTTCATTAGCATAAACGTTTTCTTTTGGTCCTGAAATAAAAAAAAAACAAAAAACTAGAAAATATGTGCAGTAACTGAAAATTGTACTACAAAAGTAAGCTTCTAGAATTGTCCACAAAACACAAACTATTATTTTAGGGATTATGAAAAAAAATGTCAAATAACGTTCACCATTAATTTTATAATATTCATATGTATAATGCCAAACGACTAGGACTAGATCTCAATTGAAATTGAAAACCAGGAAGAAAACTCGAATATTCCAAAAAAAAAAATTATGAACATTTGTCATATTTATATTCATCATTATACCCCGTCACACTAGGCCACGATCGCACTACGATCTCTGAAATAAATACAAATTTTGACGTTCGTAGTGAGATCGTCTAGATCGCAGTAAGGTCGTGTTACGGTCGTGGTGAGGTCTTCATGATCGTGATGAACATGGACCAACTTTGAACATGTTCAAAAAATCGTGGTGCGGTCGTGGCGAAATCAGGTTGTAGTAGAAGCGTAGTAAGAGCGCAGTGAGGTCGTGGTAAGACCGCAAAGGTCGCTGTACCAACGTAGCGAGAGCGTAGCGAAAGCGCAATTCTAGTCGGAGAGACTGCGCTACGATATCACAGCGACGTTACTACGACCTCACTACGACCATCACGTTCTCACCGCGACCTAACCACGCTTCTACTACAACTATACCACGTTTATACCACGCTGTTCATAGTACGATTCTAGCACCCTCATGCCGTCTTCATCACCCTTTTTTTACGCCCTGACTACGTTCATACTACGACCATTTCGATTTATAGTCATGCTCATTGTCATTGTCACATAAAATATATAAAAGCTCAAGGTTTTGTTTGAAGCACCAATTTCAATTGAACCATGGAAACACAAGACCATGTACATGTAGTAATGCTTCTACAATCATTAACACAGATACAAAATCTTAACGACCAGGCCATGATATTGTTATTGAGAGAGCGAAAAAGAAGAATAAGAAGAAATTTTAGACGGCGTAGGTCCTGTTTGGTTCGTCCTTGGTTATCAACCGAAAGGAGACTCCAGTTTGGTCATTATGATCAGTTGATGAACGAGTTACGAATTGAGGATGAACCTTCCTTCTTTATTATTTTTTTAGAATGCCATCAGAGATGTTCCATGAACTTCTTAACAGAGTTGGTCATAGAATCAAGAAGACAGATACTCTATTCAGAAGAGCCCTGTCGCCTGGTCTTAAACTTGCCATCACTTTAAGACATTTAGCTACTGGTGACAAGTATTCGACCTTGCAGTATGACTTTAGAATTGCTCGGAATACTATAAGCACAAATTTACCCGAGGTTTGCCGAGCAAAGGTTGAAGAATATAAAGATGAGGTGTTTTCATGTCCAACTGACCCAAATGATTGGAGGGCTATTGCAGACGAATTTCAGAAGAGATGGAACGTTCCACATGCGTGTGGTGCATTATATGGCAAACATGTTGCTATTAGATGCCCACCTAAAACTGGATCCCTTTACCACAATTACAAGGGTTTTTTCTCACTGGTATTCCTTGCCTTGGTTGATGCTGACTACAAGTTTTTAAGGATTGATGTTGGCGGATACGGTTCCAATTCAGATGCCCAAATATACAATGCATCCGAACTGAAGGAAGGTTTAGAAGATGGGACAATTGGATTTCCAGAACCGGATCCATTGCTTAATAATGATCAGAACATGCCATACTTTCTATTAGGTAACGAGGCATTTGGGTTGAGGACATATTTGATGAAGCCATATTCCATACGTGGAATGTCAAAAGAACAAGCAATAACAAATTACAGAATTTCCAGGGGAAGACGAGTGGTGGAAAATGCATTCGGTATTTTGGCACAGACATGGTAAATATTTCTTTTCACTTTGATGAAAGTACCAGACACAGTGAGTGTCATACTAGTAATAGAGACTTGTGTATGTTTGCACAATTTAATGAGGATGAGATATCCAAACCTGCAAAATGTCCAACTTGACATGGAAGACGACCTTCACAATCTTGTACCGGGTCTTCGGCGAGCTAATGCAAACATGCATGAGTTCAACAGTGTAGTAGGCCCAAATAGGGACACGGTTGCAGCAACCTCATGAGATATCTCATCCTCATTAAATTGTGCAGCAAAGAAACAGAGAGAATTTTTTTATTATATTTCAATAGCCCCGCTGGATCTGTACCATGGCAGGAACGCATGGTACCATCACAATAAATTTATATAACTTTTATCCTTAATTGTGTTTGTCATAATGATTTTTTGTTGTATTCAATAAATATTGTAATAAAGCTGAAACATATGAATACCTAAAAATATGAATAAAAAAATAGTTACTAAAATATTATCAAAACACATATGAATACTAGTAACCAAAAGAAATGTTCTTTACACAACATATCCTCTAAGCTTTATAAAAAAAGTACATACATCCGTCAATTGTATATCCCCCCAAACCCAAATAGAAGTTATCCCTTATAATATACACATCTTCATATAATTATCTAACATCTCAACAATTTTTATAACAATCTTCAAATTGTTTCTAATATCATTTATGGATAACACATTTCGGATAGACAGACATACAGACGGACGGACAGACAGATAGGTTTTAATCTATACACAGGAAATATCTTTTGCGGAGAAAAATAAAAGTTTTGCAATTTTTCCTTAACGGGAAACTGCGTGTACGTATATGCATGTGTGTGAGTGTTTTTGTTTGTTTAGTGATTGATAATCGCGATGTACGTTGAAGACCCATGGATGGTCTTTTACATGTATCAAATCATGGGCGTTGTTTGTATATCCCTTGATTATCTTTCCTATTGTATAATGTATATATCAGCGGATATCCGGGTGCTGCATTCGGTCATGTATACAAGATGTCTTCAAGATTATGTTGTGAAGTCCATTAAATATCAAAAGGTGGTAAATGGGGAATAAAAGCTAAATAGAATTCAACTTGTCAATTTTCAATCTAATCTGTCACGTAGTCACCGTTTTGATGTTATGGTTAACCCTTCTGTAAGTTGACACGTTTCTTTTTTTCTTTTCTTTAAATCATAGTATGCATCTCCGTAGTTTCGATAAAAAGCATACCATAAAAATAAAAATCAGCAAAAACCGTACACTTTATTTCTTTCTAAAGAATACACAATCAACTTTATGATTAATCCCAGTATAATGACTGTCTAGACTTTAAAGACTCTCTGTCTGAATGAATAACAAAAAATGAGATACTAATACAAATACATAGTATTGTGTCTAAGCATTGTCTGGATCCGGGTCTGAAATCATTCAGGTGAAAAGAAGACTGACTGGTGCGCGAATTATCTGCTTGTCTTGTGGGGGAAGGTAATACAATCATAGATCTGTTGGCGATACCATTCCATCCCGATACTGGCACACTTGGACCGGCGGAAGAAGATCGAATAGGCTGAAGTTGGGACATGTTTTGTCGCGGTTGAGGAAACTGTTGTGAAACCCAATTGACATCTTGTGACTGCCACACAGAAACGTTTGACGAAGGCTGAGCATGCCATTGAGATGTTGGTGGTTGTCATTAAGCAGATTAGATGATAGATGGTGCTTGCAGAGGTTGCATCTGTTGTCTTAGTTGCGGTTGTATCACTGGAGTCGGGACGCTTTGTGCTCTCTTTATCTGTAGAGAGTGTAACTGATGTCTTGCTGACATCGCCGCCCTACGAAGTGATCTAGCTCAGTAATTACCGTGCGTATCAAGTCAACAAATACGTCTCGTTCCCTGTCGGAGCTGACTGGTCGCAATCTCTCTGGCACTTGCTGATGGAGGGCCATCATCTTATTGCTGCGGTCTTCAATGCCAGCTAGAAGAACATCCTCAGTTTCTGATGTATCATGCGTATGTTTGTGAGCTTTTGCTTTCAGTCCTGTCGTTTTCGAAATGCTTGGAATATCACCTGGGGTTTCATCGATTTCATCAGCAGATGTGGCCGAGGAAGCACAGTTTTCAGCTGCTAGTAATTTTTTCTTCATCTTAAAAGGAAAAAGCAAAATCGATTAAAAACTTATCGAATTATTCGTTTAAACTATAATAATAACAGAGTCCCATCTTATTGCTCTATTCCTTGACATTTTTGTTGTCATATGGATTTGTAGACCGCATATAAATTAAAAACAAAAAAAAACAAAACAAAAAAAAACCTAGAAATATGACACTGCCATGAAGATCCACTAACCTCAGTCTGATTTCTCGAAAACGAAAATCGAAATTGCTCCCAGGGGAGTTTTCTCTAGTGGTAATTTATTTTATCTAATAGATATGAATTAAATCTGTCAACTTGAAAGCAAACTTGAGTTATCGTACAACGACGAAAGTACTGACGGACAGACGGACGAATGGATAAGGTGATTACTATTGGCCAGTACTCTGCAGGGCCTTAAATATGTATTATCATATTTCATGCTGATGCATTACGGCTTTACTAATCTCAATCGATGGTTTTGAGATGCTGGGCAGCAGACTCGGTAAGTAATGCATCGTATTGAACAACTTTTATATTTGAAAATAAGGCGTCTTAGATTTGTGCTTTTTTTCGATATTTGATTTTAAATAAATACATTTGAAAAAGAATTCTATGGGATAAGGAATACGTTGTCCAACACTTCAATGCATTCTTCTTTCTATTTTTTTTTTCATTTCGTTTGTTTTCCTTCGATTTACACTTCAAAAATCAATTCAAATCAATAAAGTCTTTACAATATCATTACTATACTTACACTTACTAATGTCTTTTCTTGTACCTCATGAACATGAGGATGGAGGATTTGAAGTTCCTTATCATCCAATCATCTCTCTCTGTTAATTCTTTGTCACCATCGCCGGATTTTGTTTTTTTTAAGTGTTCGTTTTAATGAGAAATAGAAGGAATGGAACAGTATTTATATGGAACACGATGTTGACTTTATTGCTGAGAGTGTAGTAAGATCGCGGTATGAACGTGGTATGATCGTAGTATGATCGTGGTAAGAGCGTGCTATAATCGCAGTAGAAGCGTGGTAAGATCGTGTTGCAATCGTATAAATCGTGGTATGGTCGTAGTAAGAACGTGATGAGCGTAGTAAGATCATGATAATCGTAGTGAGGTCGCAGAATAAGCGTGGTGAGAACGTGGTATAATCGTAGCGGGATCTTTGTAGAAGCGATATGAGGACGTAGTAGCATCGTGAAAACAACTGCTCATACCGCGACCTCACCACGATCTGAATTTATTTTAGATCGCGGTGAGCGTGGTGCGATCGTGGTCTAGGTTGACGGGGGCTATACGTTATTGAAAAAAATATATGTATTAATCTCTTCATCTTTAATAACAACAATGGTTAGATATTGTACGATGTATTTGAAATTGTATCTACTATGGCAGTATCGAAATAGAAATAATACACTCTGAATGCAAAAAGCTAATTCTGATTTTATGCATGATATTGTCTTGATTTAAAATTTAAAAACTAAAAAAAACATGCTTTTGAATATTTTATAACTTAATTGAAAAGACCGTTATACATATTGATTAAACCTCAAAAGTCTAAATAAATATCACCATTTTAAAAACAGAGCTTTAACAGATGTCGCAACGATTGACAGCTACGAAAGTAATTATAAACGTTCAATATTTTAAGAGCTTAGAGGACCCACTCTTCTCACTTTAACATTACTTTTGCACAAATCTACACTTACCTATAATGCTTATTCTAACACAAAATTCGCAAGAAAATATAAAAAATAGGTTCTACTATCTTTTTATTTTGATAATAGACATATGTTTTTGATTTCAAATTATATATGGCTACGGTAGAAAGCAATTCAAATTTAAGCTACAGAGATATAGTTCTTCGCTCCAATATTATCATTACAAAAACACTTACCTTGTGTTGTATTTAGTTTACGACCTTCTTTATGATTATTTGATGCTTTAAGTATATTTTTCTCTGCCGGTTGTCTACAACAAATAACACATGTTCTTTTGTGATAATCTATTGTATATGTACTTTAAATAGAAAACTTTTGGTGTAATCATCATTCTTTCAAATCTCTTCCGATCGTTGATTGAGATTATTCCTTTTAGACAATGTGCGATTTAGAAGTTAAATACTTTTAAATACCGGTACACTTTTTGACTAATAAAGACCTATTGCTGATCTGGTGGTGTCTTTTTGTGTCATTAAATTGCTGGCTCATTGGCGTATACCAGATATATCATGCATACTATTCGTTCTATTAAATAGTAAACATTCAAACAACTATAATTCTCTTCTCAAAACAGTAACACAAGAGGAATATATAATCAGCACACAATATCAAGATATACAAATCTCTAACAATAGTAGAAAAAGTTTGGATGAAAATAAGCATAAAATAAGATAAAATAGCTGTTTATTTTAGTATACTGTACATCTAAAAAAGTAATATGATTCAAATGTGTACATACTTATTTCATTGCCCTTACCTTAACGATGTTAATGACAAGGAGTAAATGAAATATGTATGAAAGGTATTTTGGACAAAAAATGCTTACACATACAATAATTTGTTTTGATACGATGTGTCGGGATCTCGCCTCAAGATAGACTTCTTTTGCAGTCTTATATCACAACTTGTCTTATCCTTTAATTGACCGATTGCGTCTTATTATCCATCGTTTTATTTTGAATGATTTGCATGGCGGGTGATACATGTATAGCAGGAGATGCCATGTCGACGCACCGGATTCATTCCCGTTTGGAGGTCATGCGAAATTCCAAAGACGCGTTGGAAATTTGTCAAAGGTTGCCAATATGAAACAATCTTATACGATTAAACTGGCACTTTATGTCAGTGTTTAATTAATCTGATACATATTTTTATGAACTAAAGGTATCGCAATCGCCAAATTCGAATGTTTGATCTGGTGTTGCAGAAAGTAAATACAAATAGTGTGTGTATAACATTTGCATTCCAGAATAATAAAAAAAAAATAACTGCTCAACCATAGATTAATACTAGAAATATATACAAAAATCAAAATGACAATATCTTGAAACTTTTTCAGACGAAATATAACTACTAAGATGCAAATAGTACTTACTCCTTTAGCTGTATCTCTTCTAAAATGATAACAAAAGTATCTCATTAATGACAACTGAAAAATGTTTTTGTCTTTATATCTTATTTCGTTTTAAAAGAATTTCAAGTTGAATATGCTACACGGGAAAGGAAAATGTCAAACCAAGCAAGTGTTATATTTAAACATGTTAGATATTATATGATTAGCAATTCTAAATACCTTTCTGGTTTTCTAGTTCAGAATAAATGCAAGGTTTATCTTGAATACCTAAAGCTTCGTAATGGTCCAACGAGCTAAAATAGAAAAAAAGTGAAAAATAAGGAAAAAATATAAATCAAACTAATAAACTTAATAATTTTTTTTTAACATGTAAGCTTCAGTTTTCATACATGTAAAATTGAGAATGGAAATGGGGAATATGTCAAAGAGAGAACAACCCGATCAAAGAGCAGACAACAGCCGAAGGCCACCAATGGGTCTTCAACGCAGCCAGAAAATCCAGCACCCGGAGGTGGTCCTCAGCTGGCCCCTAAATAAAATTGTGTACTAGTTCAGTGAAAATGGACGTCACACTAAACTCCAAAACATATAAATGTACATATTTCTTCATGTTTTTGCCTAACAATTTACATATCATTTGCATACATTTTCACCGTGTAGAAAACCACACGTGAGGGTGTCGGCTACATTTGACGCGGGGTGTCGACTGAGAAGAAAATAAAAAAGGTTTAAGGTAAGTCCAAATTTTCTGTTTTGAAAATTTTAACGCCAAATAATTTAGTGCACGGACAGTAGTCCATTCCGAGCAAGAAGAAGGAGACGCTCCCAAATACATCCCTCCCCAGTTTCTCATGTCGCAAATGCAAGTTTAAGGATAAATTAATTTTCCCAGTCAAAATATCTTGGTTTTAAAGATTTTTAAATATTTTTCATCGAAATGTGATGTTTTGTGCGGGGTGACATATTAAGTATCTCATGGTAATTAGGCATACCAATCATACCAATATTTCGGACCTAATTTCTATTTCAAAAAACAACGGCAGACATTATCTGTTAACAAAGCTCTGTTCATTACCGGTTAATAAGTTAAATAAAATTTTAGAGGATTGCAACACAATTTCATATAGCAGTCCTAAGTATGAAATCGTTCAAATTATAATGGCATATTGTTATTCTAAACTGTTTCCCAAAATTGATCGCCCTGAAGATCATAAAAAACAGTTTATTAAAATAAAGTATGTCAATAAAGGTTTTGATTTTGTAAATATTGCCGGTATTTTTAACGACCATTCTGTTAAAGAACAAATTCCGGGATATTTTGATAATACTGAGCTCCCTCTTATTTGTTATATTTACAAGAAATCTACCCGGAAATTTGTGTTTAATTATAGCCAATTGTGTAAAGATGTTAATGTCAGTGAAAATACACCTACTTCATGTAATTGCAGTAATTCCGAATACATTTATGGACCCATTTCCCATGTTATAACAGGAGATCTTAACATCGTTCAAGACCGAGAGTTAAAATCATTCCTCAATAAAGGACCTAAATATCGTCCCCCGTCAATTATTAATTGGAATGAGTGTCGTAATATCATCCACGACTCACTCCATACTTACTGTTTGAAATGGATAAAACGGGAAAAAGCTGACAAAAAATCTTTGGACTCTTTTTTTAAATCAGTAATGAACATAGTTGATATACGTATTCAACATTTTAAAGAACATTTTACTCTTAACAATAACCACAATAAACCTATTTCTCGTATCAAACATAAACTAAAAGATCTAGCCAAGGAATTTGTTTTTGTCCCGGCCGATAAAGCTGCTAATAATATTATTATTGTTTGACGTAAATTTTACATTGAGGTTCTGAAAATCACCAATTCACCAACATTCCAACTGACTCCATTTTCAGAAAACGACATCTGTAACAAACATAAACTTTTAGCTACCGCTTTACAAGCAGAACCAAATACAATGAAAGTCCCAACTATGTATCGGCTTCCGAAGCTACACAAAACACCTTACAAATATAGATTCATTTCGTCTTCAAGCCATTGTTCCACTACTACATTGTCTATTCTTCTTACCAGTACACTTGGTACAATCAAAAACCTGATAATAAATTGTTCAAATAAGGCCTTCGAAAATAGTGGAATTAATTACTTTTGGAGTGTCAAGAACTCGTTGGAAGTACTTGATAAATTGCATGCATATATTGGTGATTTTGAATCTGTTCAAAGTTTTGATTTTTCTACCCTATATACTACATTGCCTCACATTCTCATTAAGAAAAAATTCACACACCTAATTAAATGGGCATTTAAAAAGTCAAAATGTGAATATATATGTTCAAACTCTTTTAGGTCATTTTTTAGTAGCAAAAAACAAAAAAAACTATGTCAATTGGACATGCTTTGATACTATATATGCCCTTGAATTTTTACTAGATAACATTTTTGTTCGCTTTGGAGATTCCGTATATCGTCAGGTTATCGGAATTCCAATGGGGACTAACTGTGCACCACTTATTGCGGACCTTTTTTTGTATTGCTATGAGTTACAATTTATGACAAAAATCAGTAAAGACCCATCGAAACAACATCTGATACACAAATTTAATAATACTTTTAGATATTTGGATGATATTTTGGCTCTCAATAATGACGACTTCAGTATGTATACTAAAGAAATTTATCCTGTTGAACTTACTTTAAATAAAGCTAATACTAACAATGACCACTGCCCTTTCCTCGATCTTGATATCTATATCATTAACGGAAAGCTTAATACTAAAATATATGATAAAAGAGATGATTTTTCATTTCCTATCGTTAATAATCCATTTTTAGATGGTGACGTTCCCTTGTCACCATCTTACGGTGTTTATATATCTCAACTTGTACGATTCGCTCGTGTATGTAACAATGTTTTAGATTTTAGCGAGAGAAATTTATGTATTACTGAAAAATTATTACACCAGGGTTTTCGATATCACAAACTAGTCAAAACATTTGCTAAATTTTATCATCGGTATAAGGACATCATTCGTAAATATAGCTCAACATGCAGACTTCTTATACGTTCAGGTATTTCACATCCGATTTTTTATGAAAATATTCTTTATAAAGCACAAAAATGTCAGTATTCACCTCTGAAACTAACAAAACCTTTAAATAGACTTATTAAGAAGGGATATAGTTACGATACTGTTGTCAGGTCATTAAAGATTGCATATTTTGGCGTTAATATTGATTCACTTATAGGGTCTTTGCATCGGCACTAAACACATTTATTTAAAAACCAGTTGTTGGCATGACACGGGTTATGTTCTTCTCATATATGTTATGATGGTATGATACTAAACCCCTAACGGGAAGGACTGTGCCTGATACTCATATGATGAAGACATAATCTTTCAATCAGTTTAATTGAAGTCTGGAGCTGGCATGTCAGTTAACTGCTAGTAGTCTGTTGTTATTTATGTATTATTGTCATTTTGTTTATTTTCTTTGGTTACATCTTCTGACATCAGACTCGGACTTCTCTTGAACTGAATTTTAATGTGCGTATTGTTATGCGTTTACTTTTCTACATTGGCTAGAGGTATAGGGGGAGGGTTGAGATCTCATAAACATGTTTAACCCCGCCGCAATTTTGCGCCTGTCCCAAGTCAGGAGCCTCTAGCCTTTGTTAGTCTTGTATTATTTTTAATTTTAGTTTCTTGTGTACAATTTCGAGTTTAGTATGGCGTTCATTATCACTGAACTAGTATATATATTTGTTTAGGTGCCAGCTGAAGGACGCCTCCGGGTGCGGGAATTTCTCGCTGCATTGAAGACCTGTTGATGGCCTTCTGCTGTTGTCTGCTCTGTGGTCGGGTTGTTGTCTCTTTGACACATTCCCCATTTCCATTCTCAATTTTATTAGTTAAAAGATCCGAGCTGTTGCCATTACTTGGCGTCCGCCTTCGTCGTTGTGGCCCGTAAACGTTTCACATTGCAGATATTTTTTTTAAAAACTTCTGTACCAATTGTAAACAAATGTGGTATGAATTATGTAATAAAGTCGCCTTCAAGATTGGTCAAAACCCATGGCCACTGTAAATCTTTGATTTTGATTGACTAATTTTGAAAATTCGTCTCTCTTAAAAATTTTATATGAATTGCTTTGAAACATAAATGGATTGATGATTTTGAGACCAACCTACAACAGTTCTCATGTACAACTGATTGGGTGGCATCGGAGGCATTAGTGACATGTAACTCCCATTAAAACCATTCGGAAAATCGCAATTCCATCAAATGTTGGAATTGATAACATGCATTTATTATAAAAAAAAAAGCTTTTAAAAGACTTATTTGCAACTTCTTGTTTGAAAGTACAAGGCCAAAATTAACAACATTTATCAGGAATAATATGGGTGTCAAATCAATATTCCATTAAATTCTTTTATCAACATCCCAGTTACGGAATAGGCCACTTGTTGCTACTCTTAAATTTTCTTGTTTACAACAAAAGTAATGAAGTTGAGCCTCTAGTTGTTGTAATGGTTGATTGTTTAATTTTGCAGTTGACAATTTAACACTTTTAACTCTAGAGGTAATACATGTAAGTATGTGACATTCAGCTGTGATTGATTTGTTATTTTGACTTTTTTCATACATGTTTGCCTTTTTGTATCAGTTTTCATTTGCAGAAATAACATTTTTTATACATTTTGTTATTTTTTTCTTTTTTGCTGAGATGTTACAAATAGAAAATCTTGAATCAAAGTATCTTTCAACTCCTTAAAACATTTCTTTGGCAGAATTTATATTCTTCCTTGCGATGGTACAGGCGCATCGACAATACACCTCGAGCTAGTTGTATATGTGCTTATATTTCTGCGAATTTTATTTTTCGTGTTCTTGTTCCTATGGCTGGATGGTCAAATTCGACAACAACATTAACATCATTCAACTTAGAGAATCAGTGTTGAATGCATTAGTTCTTAAGTCTTAGCACGGTTTGGACGACAACTAGATATTAAATAAAGGTCATGGATTAAATGCATGTAAAATACAGGTGCCCATTTATTCTTGCTAATTAAACAATGAAACATAAAAACAGCAACAATGCCTACATGATCACCAACTATTCTACATCAGACCAAGAATGCAGAACAATTTGTCACTTCAAAATGTGACAATTTGTTTTACAAGATTTTTTTGAAAATTGGTTATTGCCTTCACGGCATTTAACCTTAAGGTCATGATGTTATGTCTATTACCTGTAGATGAAGACCGAA